CTATTGTCGTAAGTACAGAATGCCTGAAAAGTTTTTTTGTTAATATGAATTTACCATGAATTTAGCAAGGTCAGCATTACAATATCGATAAAATAAGGATAATAGTAACATATGATATGTGAAGTAGAAGGATAAAAGCGTGTTCTAGAAACAGCATTAACTACTACAAGAAGCTTGAGAAACAGCAAATAGAAAATGAGTACATATGATTAAAAGTCAATACGATATTATACGAACATTGTTTTGTTATTAAGAAGCTAAAACAAGTTAAAAATTCTTTTCTTTCACAAGAATATATTTTTAGAAAAAGTGTGCTGACCATTTCTTTGAGTCATTGCTGTGTGATTCTTATAATTTTAAAGAAAGTATTGTCTTCATGAAAGCTATGATTTAGATGGTAATAATATTGATTTTTATTTAAAAATAAAAAAAAATAATGCAGTAAGATGCTGACAATGCAAAATTAACTCGAACGTTTGCGTTTTTTTTCTTTCTATTTGGTTAGATAGAGCTAACGAGTTGATCAAGAATATGTACGGTTTCAATATTTCGGAATCGTTTTTTAGGGAACAACTTACAGTTTTTTCAGATGGTCTACTTTTTCTGAAGAAAAGCAGGTCAATTTTTTCATTTCCTTTAAATTAAAAAACTACTAGTTTCAATTTAGTGTAAAAGACTGAATCTAGGAATTATATTTATTTATATATGAGTTTTCTAGATTCAGTTGTTTACGTTACATTTGAAATAAAATACTATTGGAATTTTAAGGAAATGAAAAAAAAATTGAAAAATTGCCGGTTATTGATATTGAAAATACACACGTTTTTGATCAGCTCATCAAACTCTATCTAACCATGTATAAAAAAAATAAAAAGCAAACTTCAGGTTTCATTTTCCATTTCCGATAACTTACAAAAAAAATGTTAAATTTAAAAATTTTCTTTATTTAAATAAAAGTGAACTGTATTTGTTGATGAATGATGATCATTTATTTTAATACATAAACATTGAAGTTCTTTAACAAGTGGTTTTGAACCACAAACAAATACACCAATATGACGTTTTTGTGTCATTTGCCAATCTTCATTAATTATATCTTGAAAATCAACATTAAAATTAGGTCGTCCATAATGTGTTTTACTTTCTAAACCTGTCCATATATCACGTTCATCAGTATTATTTTCTATAACTGCTCGCGCTTGTCTCATTGACCATTTTGTTAAATAAATATTATAAGTTAAAAAATTGACTCGATCTCGAAAATCCCGTTCAATTTCTTGAAGCATTTCAGCAAACCATTCATAACAAGAAGTTGTATTACATATCCAATAAAAATGAACACGACGAAGACGATCATGAGCTGATTGAGATGAGCGTATATGTTTTAATATAGCAGCATAAGGTGTTACTGCAAACAAAAAATCGGAAAAAAAATTCGTTTGTTTTTTAAATTAACCCCCCAAAAAAAACTAATTTTGTTTTTTTTTCTTACCTCCAATGCCAGCACCAATAAGTATAACACCATCATAATTAAAAACATCATCAGCTGCACTTCCATATGGTCCATCAACTGCTAATCTTGGTATATCTTGTGGATACATTTGAAATTTTTCTGTTAATCTATTTGTCCAATTTCCTACTATTCTTATATGAACACTAACATAATTTTCTTCAGCAGCTGATGTAACTGTAAATGGATGCCATTCAAATATTGAAATAGAAAAACATTTTAAATAAATATATTGACCAGGTTGTGGTATAGTCATGAATTTTTTACGAAAACGTATTTCAAGAACATTTGATTCATGTCGAATAATATCAAGTATTTCAACATGTTGTAAACTACGTATAAAACGAAGAAGACGTTCAAGTATATAAAGACTAAGTGGAGCACATAACCACATCCAACTTGTTGCTTGTGAACCACTAAAACGAGGATAAATAAGACATTGTTGATTAATACCCCATTCACGATAAAGTGATGCACATATTTCTGGATTATGTTCATTGAGATTTATTTGAGATTTAACTATACCTTGAAAACCATGAAGTATTAAACAAATAAAAAATACTATAAAAAGATGATGAGCAAACCAAAATATTTCATAAAATGATCGACGAATAAGTGCTGTCGATGAACTAAATATAATCATTAAACAAATACATAATATAACTCCTGTAATTCCTGCTGTTGTACGTAACATTGATCCTATATTTAATACATTCGGATTAACTCTATCAAATGGATTTACTTGAGATTCTGATGATTGAAGATAAAGTAAATTAAGTACTGATGAAAGTGATTGATATTCATTATGAACATCAATGAAACGTTCGTAATTATAAATATGTGCTCCAACATGTATTATTGACCAAAAACAAATTGCATAACCAACACAACGATGAAAACCAATATGTTGATCAAAAAGACGTTTTGTAGAACGACGAAAACGTGATTTTGTTACACATTGTGGTAAAATATATCGTATTAATGAAAGCAAATTTCGACAAACAGGTAAAAGAATTAAAAGACAATTAAAATTTAAACATAATGCTGCTGCACGTGCAACACTTAAACCATCAGATATTAATGAACGTAAATAAAAATATGATCGTGAATGATGATAATATAAAAATTGTCCAATAAATAGAGCAATATTTATCACTAACCATAGAAATAAAAAAAGTAAAGTAGGAAGATCATTTACAATAAATAAACGAAACCATAAACGAATGGATTCAAGTGACATTCGACTAAAAAAAAAACAAATTTTTAAGTAGATATTTTTTCCAACAAGTAATACAATGTTTCACTCATAAACAAATATATGATGTAAACAATGTATAGGTTTATACCTATTACGATTAGTCGTCGGAGGGTCAGATAAAGGCATTGATGCGTCACCAGGTAATAGTTTTTTTCATTCGCAATTATTATCGTTGTTTTTAGTTCTTATTTGACATGCTTTTGACTGTTTTTTTTTCTATACCTTTTTGGTCGTAAACTTATTTTTCGAATGGTTTTATTTGTCTTCAAGATAACCTGAGATCAATGAAAAAAAAAAGAAATCGTCATATGAATCAAAAAAACCATTCAAACTTTTCTTTATGTTCTTACCATGTTGACAACACCTGACTAAAGACGAATGAATCATGGGAAGAAACGAGCCATATATTGTTTCATAATGTTCGTTCTATTACCTCAATGGAAATAGAATGTATGAGAAGTAGAAGTAGTTACACACCGGCATCTATTACAGATTTCATGATACCGTTCTGATATTACTTCACATATCTTTATATTCTCGTATATAAATAGAAATTTTTGCGATTGATATTGTCAATGAAATAGAGTTTAACATATAGTGATGAAAGAGAAATTCATATACGAGTTACTTCCATAAAATATTACTTTTGAGAAAAGTATCTGCAATTATGATATTTTCAGGATGCATTGATTACAATCAAAATTATGAAGAGACTTATGACGTCTCTTTTTTTTTTTTTATAGATGATAGAATATTTTTCAAAAGTACACAAATTAAGAATTATTTATACCATCATGATTGTCTCTAGAATGAAGACTTTTTTCAAATAGAAAATCCCTAATGAATCTTGTGGACAGTGAGATATTGTTACAATTGTTCATTCTATTATTTAAAGCAAAACATCTAATTTTCTGGAAAATTTGATTTGTCTTTGGTGACTATGTAAAATATTTTTTCTAAATATTCATACCAAACCGAAAAACTTAAACCCTCAATACATAAAATATAATAAATATTAAAATGGACAACAAAACAAAAAAGCAAGACATTAAAACAATTTTTCATAAAAATCATGCATCAATATCGAACTCAATTAAGAGGTGTGAGACAAGAGGCAAAGATGTCCACCTTTATTGTACTAACAATATATTCATGAGAGTTTTTTCTGAATTCGACATGTTCGATAGTTTCTATATACCGCTGAAGATTTTCTAGTGTCATCACTGTATAATAGTGAGTGATGCTCAACGATGCATAAGTCAAAGGATGAGACTTTTGTTGAATTTTAAGTGTCTTTTCATAATATGAGAGTGTAGTCGAATACTCTTCCATTGAATCATGCATCGAACCAATATTGTTATAGGTAATAGCTAGCGATGAATGATCGGATGAAAGACATTTTTGTTGGATTGTCAATGTCTTATTTTCGTATGCCAATGCTTTTGAATAATACTTCATTTTTTGATGAACTAAATCAATTTTTATTGTATATAATGTCCATTTTAAATTAAAAGTCACATGAGAATTTCTTGGAATCATTTTTGATAGGAATGAAATAAACATCAGCGAATTTCACTGTTTAAAAGAGAAAATGAAACTGCATCAAATCTGGAAAATCAGATTTTTCTGACCCGGCTCTCTTAGAACCAACGGCTAAGCTTCTTGAACACAAAACATTTGCAATTGAAAAGTTTTTGAATTTGAATTTTCACTAGTGTACCAGAATCTTAGATTAAAGATCAATAATCTATACAAATTTGGTGTTAAAAGTTTAAGTCAATCACGAACTATTAATATTTTATTTTGTATCTTCGGTAGGTTTTTTATAAAAACAATTGATTTTTTCTGAGTTTTTGATGAGAAATTCACCTATGCAGAGTATTAAAAAGCCTTAATTTTTTAAACAACTTGATAGATAACTCTAAGAAAACTCTAATATTCATATTTCAATGCAGTTGTATTTCCTTTTTTAAAAGGTGAAAACCACAGATTTTCATCTCATTCCTATCAAAAACTATTCTAAGAATACTTACTCGCCTTTTATTTTAAAATGGATACAAGTGTATAGTTCGAGAAATTCCTTGAAAATAGGTATCATTATTATTGAAACATACAAACAGATATACATATATAAATGTCGTGAACATTCAAGTATCCAAATAAAAGCAAAATCCACTATAATTGTATGTCAACCCAAGAATCCTAACAAAACTTAGCATTCAAAATTGAATCATGTTAGTTAATTTATTTCGGAAAATATTTTCAAATAATCTTTTATATTATCATGGTCTAATTATTGTTGATACACTTGATCAACGGTAACAAATAATAATACAAGATCTTTTTTTCACAGAATTCTAATTCTTATTAAAGGTAATGATGCATCTATGACAAAATTCAAATAACATTTCGTAGATTGACTGAAGTCAAATTTCATGTAGTTCGAAATGCTCATATTCTTCGTCGATAAAGACCAGCAATCGTTAGTATTCTCAGTAATGCATCACTTACTCTTATTGAATAAATCAATATTTTTGTTAATTTGTTACACAGTTTGACCTAGTTGATCAATAGCAATCCATAGAGAACTAATTGCATCTGGGTACAAGGTGCACGTGCGAGCGAAGAGAACAGACACTGTTATGTACACCCACACTCTATCCATCATCGAAATTGAACTCATAATTTGAACCTGTTATTGTGCTAAGCTTGCTTTCACTGAAATACTCGGAAGTATCCTTCCAATATGGTTTTCTATTCTCAAATAGCCGAAATTTGTATAGAGCTCGATGAATTGGTAGTATTCATTCAATGGGTTTTCTCTCGTACACTACTTTCGCAGTGCTCGAATCCGATGGTTATCAAGCGATTCCAAACATGAACAGAACAAATAAATAGATACGTATATATTTCAAATTGTCGACCGCTCGTTGCATCTTCCATATGCTTTTCAAAGTGTGCTTGGATATCCTTATTCACATTCTCAACATCAATATTGTTCGAGAAAAAATAAAATGCAAATCATGTGCGCACATTGTTTTTTTTTTTTATTCAATGTATCGTACACCAAAAGACGACAGATTCGTATGATTGGGATTAAATGACAATTTTTCATTCGTTCGTTTCTTTTCGTTTTCACGTATCTTAAGCTGTTAGTTTTATTTCGAAAAATATTTACCTACACTTACATTTCTTCTCAAAATTTATTGTTCTTTTACATAAAATAAGCGTAAAACAAAAATAAGTTCAATGATTTGTTATGTCTGACATTACACAATTTGATTACAAAAAACATTGGCAACAAGAAGAAATTATTCTTGAAAGAGTTTGTAACATTTTCTTCATGCATTTCTTTCGATATATTTTGCTTTATTTCTTTTTTTTTATTAAGTCAAGAAGCGGTGATGAATCATGGGGCTTTACTATTGCTGGTGGTATCGATTTACCTTTTCTTCATCGTCATTTTACATCTATTATCGTTACAAATATACGTGAAAATGGTCTTGCCTATAGAGATAAACGATTAAAGTAAGCAAGTTTACTTTCTGTGAAAGATTTGTCTTAATTACTAGAATATCACTTCAGATTATATGATATAATATTGCGTGTAAATAATATTGATTTTACAAATATTACGCATAAAAAAGCTCTTGAAATATTGAGACAATCACGACCAAAAGTTCAATTGGTGAGGAGGACGAGATGAACGTTGAAGATTCTCGATTAAAATTTCGTTTATTCTATATAGTTGATACGTCGTCTTTCACCATTGATTATCGAAAAGATCGAACTAGAGCATAATGGACAACTAGGCCTTTTCATTGTAGGTGGAATTGGACATGAATATTTTTCAGAGTAAATACTATTGACATATTTATTTCTCTTCACTTAAAATCTTTTATGATTATTCCATTGAAGTGATCATGGTATATTTATTACGAAGATAGTTGAACATCAAACTAATAAACAATTACATTTAGGCGATCGATTGTTACAAATTTCATCATTAGTATGATAACGTTGTTCTATTTATTTTATATTTTATTTTGTTACTGTTATGTTTGTTTTTATCAGTATAACACTTACGATTTACGATTTGTAACTCACGAAAAAGCAAAACAATGCATAGAGTTAGCATGTAAAGAAAGTCAAAAGGTTAAATTATATGTTGGACATACAAGATCTGCTATTGAAATGTAAGTTGAAATCGATTTCATTTGATTTTGAAAACGATAGCAACACAAAGCATTAACTTCTTGTTTCTTGTAGACAAAATGAAAGAACTATTTTACATGAAGATGATCATGATCGTCTTGTCCCAAAAGATGCAGGTAGTTTATGTGCGCATCTTATTTTATACATTCTTATTCTTATTTCTCATGCGTTTTTTTTTTGCTTCTAAAAAGATGCTACTCAATATCAAAACATTATCTATTCAGTTGTATCTGATAAAGATTACCATCGAAAACTTAATTATAATAATACAATTTATGAGACGATGGAAGTCTCGTTGAACGAATCAGATACGGAAAATAGAAATGATCACCAGTTGATAGTGTCATTCGATTTTGATGGTAAATAAACGAAGAATCAGTTTGAACAAATAAACTTCTATATAATCATTCAAGATTATCAGAGATATGAAAATCGTTCGATAAATAATTCACGAACTAGCCATCCGAAATTATTGCTCACAGTAAACCAACAACAGCCACACATTATCAAGTAAGTCTAAAGTTTAGAAAAAGAAGACCGCTCTAAAAATATTTTCTCTCTACAATAACACTTTTCTACTATTTGACTTGCTCATTATAAAGTAAAAGAATTATTTGGTTATCTTATTTTTAGATCTACAACAGCGACAGCGCCGAAAGACTTGCAATCTGATTCTGAAACAAATACTCACGTTGAACAATTAAACAATTTAGATAAACGAATAAACTTTCGAGTATGAATTTTTTCGATTCTTGACTCAAAATAATTCTAGAAAAAATTGATTTCTTCCATTTACATCTTAGAATAAATAGAAAATTGTTATGTAAGCGACTCAAAACAAGAGACTTTTATTTTCATTTTCATTGTTTACTGTATTTTTAACTATATTCATATTATTTTTATATCAAAAGTTAGCATATTTATTTTTTAGCTATACGACTCACCTCAAATTACTTTTGATGACAAGAAATCTGCACAACAATTGAAAGAGAATGAAGCCGTAATACGTAAGTAATTGATCATCTATTTTCTATCTTCATACACAAAAAAAATTAGTTTTGAGATGATGGAAACTTTAATTTATTAGGTCGTTTTTTTTGTCATATTTTCTTTCTAGGTGCTGCTAAAGAAGAAAAATTAAGACGTCAACAAAGCAAAATTAGTCAAAACGCACGTCTACAAAGAGCAGGAATGGCAACTGGTATAAATGGAACATTAAGAGTAAGTTATAATTTTTCATAAATAAAAAAATGATACCTAAAAATATTGTGTGTGTCTTTATCATGTGTAGTGGCAAGTTGGTTGAACTATATTATCAATCAAACTAGTACAATCTTGCAAATATGCTATCAACAAGACTAGCGTATAAATAATTATCTTGTTAAACTTTACTAACTGCTGTTAGTTTATACTTATTAACGATTAATAAATACAATTAATACTTATGCATGAAGTCTGAGAGAGTGTAGAAGGTATGGGAGTATAGAAGACTCTTAATGTTATAATAATTGGAGAAAACCGATTTGTATAGATGAACAATATTATTGAACTTATTTTCTTATAGATTTATATTTTTCATTGGTTTAGGTTCGATACTTATCGAATTATTATAACACAATATTTGTTTATACCTTTTTCTCATTCATTAAGCAAATCAAAACTGCTTAACTTTGGAAGAAAATAGACTTAATCAACTATGACTTGTATTGGATACATGTTCTATTTTTAGACGTCAACTCGTAACTTTTGATTGTGACCTTATATTTTATTGTAACACAAGAAATAAAATGCAGATTTTCTTCTATATAATGATTAGAGACAGAAGATGTAAGCCAATGCTTTGACTGGTGGCAGTAATTGAAATTTTTTTAATAGTCTTTTTAACCACTAATTCATTTTTTTTAATGTATAAAATAAACACTGTTCAATTTTGTAACCAACAAGATTTTTAGATGAAACTTTGGGAACATGTAATGTTTGAAACAAATGATTGACCATCTGATAGTCTCGACTTCAAAGTGATTGAGAACTTATAGATAACTCTTGACCGATATGCTGAGGAACGACGAGAATGTAATATCAATGAATTGAAAAGATTATTGTATGAGCATTGAGCACAAGTTGATAATTGTTTTCGAAGTAATTTAATTGAGTCCATGAAAATGAAACGCTTGCACTTATGAACATGAAAGGAGTGAGGAAAAAAAAATTATTGATTTGTGTACTTTTGCACAATATTAAATGGTTAATCTAAGAGTAAAAAAAAACATCATTTTGATTCATTGTTGCTGAAAGTAGAATACTAAAAAGCTAGAGACTATTATGTTTGAACTCTGCAGTAGTAGATTGTTACATCGTAACAACACAAGTAATTCATATTGTTTTCTGTCTCTGTAGTCATCTCACTAGGCATGATAGTCATACCGAGTCGAGTTCAAAATGAACTGAACTCAGGCTTACTGTTTCTTCTCAAAAGTAATACAGCTGGAAACCAGTTGTGTAAGAGTAATCCTTTACTTGTGAGCTTATCTCGATGCTGATAGTAACCATTGCGTTCTCTGGGATTCTCCAACTGGGTTTTTATTAATTTCTCTTCGTTTTGCCCTTTTATCTTGTATTCTTTCGTGTTGTTTTGAAAGTTCTTTTCATTATCTTTACTGTGTGAAATGATATTTTTTGTTCTTTTTCTATGATCATACTCAATGGAGCTCAATTGTCATTCCGTTACCATTACTCGGTAATGGACTCAACAGGGAAACAATTTCTGAGGAAAATAATGATTTTTTTAATAAATTTTCATCAAAGGTTTTTGAGATCGAGGATTCCAAATGGGTTATCGATTTTTTGAAATTTTGAATTTCATTTTTTTAAATAAGATCACATGAAAAATTTCGAACAACCGATTACAGATTCGAATTCTTCGACCCAAGAAAAACTTTAGTTAAACTTTGTAAAAAGTCATTTTTTCATTAACTATTGATTGTTGATAATAGAAATTTTGTAGGTTTCCATTACTAGTAACCCGATAACGTAACTGTCTGGTAACGATAACTTCTCTAGTTTTGATTATTCTTTTGCTCGAAGAGATCAGCCAATGATAATTTGTTGTCAACAAAATAATTTATATTCTTATTGTAAGCTTTCTTATGAGTCATTTAATTGATTGACACATTTAAGAAGATCACCAGATCGCGTTAAGTACCGATAACAGCATCAATCTTAGCTGATTCAGCTATATAAGGAGCAATACTTAATAATTGTAGTATTTAAGTTCCATCGGAGAGTTTAAATGTTGAACATTGACCGAATAACATTTAAAATTTGAATTCAGATCATTTAGTGATCTCGAAACGAATATGATTCCAAATACAACAAAAAGCGGTGCATTGTCAAGAAATAATTTCAAACATCTAAACATTGACTTCTTAAAAAACTGTTCCTTATCTTTCAGTATGCTTGTTTCAAACAAATATGTCAATAACAAAGAGCACAACGATATATCATGAATATTTTTGGTAATCAATGCATATTGTTATTCACTATATTAATTAATGCAAAAGAAGACATCTGTAAATAGTTCGATTATTTGACAATAATAGAAAAATCTCTTTCAATATTTGAATTACTATTGTTATTTGGTAGCAGTAAAAAAAGAAATAATAAAACAATTATTTCATTCCCATTCTGAAGATATCAAATGGTATATTGTTTTAACTATGAGACTGAGGACATGATAATATGATATAGGTATAGAATAGAACGCTTATATCTTAATGTTTTTTCTTATCTGCGTTTCTTTTTTTTTTTCTTCAGTAAGTTGCTTGTTACGTGTTTTATGAGATGGACGATTTGGAATGTGAGTCAAAAAATAAAGATAATCGAACATCGTCTTCACATTATTAACATAGGCCTACCATTTACGATTGTTTTCTTCTTTTTCTTAACAAATATTTCTTTTGAAAAAAAAAAAAAGTAAAAAATCATTTTTTCTTAGCTCATAATTATGGGATCCAATTTTTGATCATACCATAACGTTTTAAATTTGCAGTTTTTTTTAATTTGTATGTTATTTTTTTAGAAAAAGTTAAAAACAATGAATATCACCATACTCGATGATTATTTTGATACCATTCGCACACTTCCATGTTACAATAAGTTAAATGGTCATAATGTCACTATATGGAATGATCACGTGCAAGACATAGATGCACTTGTTGACCGACTTAAAGAAACAGATATACTAGTATTAATTCGTGAACGTACACAAATTCGTGGTGAGATTCTCGAACGATTGCCTCGTCTGAAGTTGATTAGTCAACGTAGTGTTTATCCTCACATCGATATCGATGCTTGTAATCGTTTAGGTATTATTGTCTCATCAAATCAACATGTTGACAGTCCATCGTATGCTGCTGCTGAATTAACTTGGGCACTTATTCTTGCAGCGATGCGTCAAATTCCTCAACAAATGGCTGCACTTAAAGCTGGCAAATGGCAAATTGGTGTCGGAGCTACTTTACGTGGAAAAACACTTGGCATATATGGTTACGGTAGAATTGGTAGTACTATTGCTAAATATGGAACAGCATTCGGTATGAATATACTTGTTTGGGCACGTGAAGTATCTCTTGTTCGTGCACGTGCTGATGGTTATACAACAGCAAATAGCAAAAAAGAATTTTTTGAAATGTGTGATGTCCTTTCACTTCATATGCGTTTAGTTGAAGTAACACGTGGCATTGTTACTGCTCAAGATCTTGCCTGTATGAAGCCAACTGCTCTTATAGTTAATACAAGCCGAGCAGCACTAATTGAGCCAGATGCATTGGTTAATGCGTTACGTGCTGGTCGACCTGGCATGGCAGCTGTTGATGTCTATGAACATGAACCGATGCTTGACACTAACAATCCTCTTCTGACAATGGATAATGTTATTTGTACGCCTCATATTGGATACGTATCGGTTGATGAATATGAGCTTCAATTTACTGATATTTTTGATCAAATTTTGGCATATGTAGCTGGTACACCTATCCATGTGGTCAATCCAACAGTGATTGGTCGGTAATGTCTTTTACACATTGCTTCTAAATTATAGATGATGATGATATTAATTTTACAAAATCATTTTATAAAATTTAATTGAATATCAATAGATATGTAACAAAAGCAAACTTGTTTCTTTCATTCTAGATTTTTCTTAAATCTTAGTCAATATTCTTGAAGAATATATTTTATTCAACTCTTCGACGTTAATGAATAAAATTTCGAAACTTTGATGATCTTTCTACAACGGCGAATTATATTAATTCAATTTTCTTTTGGACATAGATAGAAGCAACTAAATACATAACGAATAGAACGAGATTGTACTCATGATTATTTTAGTAAAAACGCCATAGATATTGTTTACTTTTAAGAAAACGAATAAAATCATGCTAGAATTCGATGATAGTGAACAAAACTACTAATATATTTTAAACCGAAAATGTTGATTAAGCATACTTCATTCGGTAGATCATGTTTGGTTTTGAAACTATTTTCTAACAAAATGAATAAATTTTACTACAAAATATTAAATGCACTGCGGACTCTTATGTAGAAATTAAAATTTTCCTTAAATATATTTAAACCAAATGTGAACAGCTTTTATCAATATTTTATCATTAAGATATGAATCGAAAAATGATGAAATATAGGACACTACTTGTATTATCAGTATATATCTTGAGATAAATTTTTCTAGAACTTTTTTTAAGATATTCTTGTGTCAACATTATTAGTTTTAGTATACGCTAGCAAATTTATTCATAGAGTAAATACAAGTAACATCAATTCGGTCAAAACGAAATAATGTTTATTTGATAAATATGAGTGAGACTTTCGAAATTTTACTAGATTTTTCAAGAAAAAGTTATAGTTACGTGAAAAATTGACTTTCAAGTTTCAACTTCAAACTTTGACGAAATTACGAATATTGAATATCTTAGAATAGACAGCTCGAAAATCAATATCTCCAGCATGAAAACCTTAGATAACTAAACTATTCTATATATTTCTATTACAGATTAATACTCATCAAATAAACAACGTCTCGATCGAAAAGCGATCAGACATCTGGAGACATTCTCTAGTGTAAAGACTGAAGTAAATATTGTCTTTTAAATAATAAAAACTTCAATTCAAAAAGTTTTTCTATATACTTCAAGATATTCAATATTTAGTTATGATTTACTTATTCAAACGTGTTTTATGTTTGTTTTTGTTTTATTGTACTTTAAACATTAGATAAAAACTTGATCAATGAAAATTTCGTTAGGACCTTACTTACTTACTTTCGATATTATTTGAAATAGAGTACAGCGACATCGTTTTCGTTTTTATTGGTTAATATGATAACACCATATAAAACGAACGAAATGTGAAGAAGGTCAGGTGTGTTCTATAATAAAATGAAAATATTTAATCTTTTCGTACATAAAGCTGCATCCATAATTTTAAGTACATTATCTTCATCATATATCTATTCATATATTTAAATTTAGATAAATTTTCTTTTAGATCTTTAATTATGACACCATCACTACTTACTCATCATTCAAAAATAGGTAAACATTTCTGTTATCTTTATTTTTTCAAATAATTTTGATTTTTTTTGTTTTTGTTTTTATTTTCAATAGAAAATGATCTTATTAATGCTCTATCTAATCGTATTCTTATTATTGATGGAGCTATGGGTACAATGATACAACAATATAAATTAGAAGAATCTGATTTTCGTTGTAATGAATATCAATTAAATACACATAAACATCCTCTTAAAGGAAATAATGATTTATTATCTATAACACGTCCTGATGTTATTTTAGAAATACATCAAAAATATTTAGAAGCTGGTGCTGATATTATTGAAACAAATACATTTAATGCCCAATGTATATCACAAGCTGATTATGGTTTAGAACATTTATCATATCAATTAAATTTAAAATCAGCTCAATTAGCAAGACAAATTGCTGATGAATATACAAAAAAAACTGGTTAAAATGATATTTTTATATTATAATTTTTTTAATAGACATATTTTATTTTAGGTATTCAACGATTTGTTGCTGGTGCTTTAGGTCCAACAAATAAAACTCTATCAATATCTCCATCAGTAGACAAACCTGATTTTCGAAATATAAGTCTGTTTGATATTTAATTATTGACATTTTAATTAAAAACAAGGAAATATATTTATTAATTTATTAGCTTTTGATGCTATTGTTGAAGCCTATAGTGAACAAGCACGTGGTTTAATTGATGGTAATGTTGATTTATTAATAGTTGAAACAATATTTGATACAGCTAATGCAAAAGCAGCAATATTTGCATTAAAAACTTTATTTGAAACAAATGTTGAATTTACTAGACCAATTCTTGTAAGAATAAATATATTTATTTATTGTTTTTTTGTTTAAACATAAGAACATAATTCAGACGAAAATTGTTAATATATAATGATAGACCTTTCGAACCTTGTTATGATTATTTTACTGATAACTCTTTTGTTAAGATATCAAGTTGATTTGAAAACTCAGACTGTATTGAAAAAGTTTCATGAGTATGAATATTATTCGCATAGTTCTCATTGATGTATTAGATAATTTAATAGTATCTTAATTTCTAAATTTTGAACATTATATCTTTATTTAGATTTCGGGTACAATTGTTGATATGAGTGGACGAACATTATCAGGTCAAACAGTTGATGCATTTGTTATTAGTGTTTCACATGCTGATCCGATTTGGTAATTTTGTGTCATTTTTGAAATTTATTATTCTATTTCAAATATTTTATAGTCTTGGTTTAAATTGTGCTTTGGGTCCAAAAGAAATGCGAAGATTTTTAGAAGAAGTTTCTAATAATACATCTGCATATACAATTTGTTATCCAAATGCTGGTAAAAAAAAAAAAACAAAATAATATAATTTATTAATTTAATAAAAAAAATTCATTCAGGTCTACCAAATACATTTGGTGAATATGATGAAACACCTGAATCAATGGCTCAACAAATAGGTCATTGGGCTCATGATGGATTACTTAATATTGTTGGTGGATGTTGTGGATCAACACCTGATCATATCAAGTAAAAAAATGAAATCTTTTTTATTTTCGAATTTATAAATCTATTAAATAAAAATTAGAGCAATTGCTGAAAGTGTCAAACGATATCCACCAAGAGTACCACCAAAAGATTTGCATACGGAAGAAATGCTTCTTTCAGGTATAATAATATTTCTTAAAATTAATGTAATTACACACACAAAAAAAAAAGAAAACTTTTAAGGTCTTGAACCATTTCGTATTTCTCGTTATACAAATTTTGTTAATATTGGTGAACGATGTAATGTTGCTGGTAGTCGTCAATTTCTTCGTTTATTAAAAGAAAATAAATTTGATGCAGCTCTACAAATAGCTAAAGTACAAGTTGAATCTGGTGCACAAATACTTGATTTAAATATGGATGAAGGCATGATTGATGGTCAAGTAGTTATGGCAAAATTTATTAATCTTCTTGCATCCGAACCTGATATAGCTCGAGTACCTTTATGTATTGATTCATCAAATTTTGCTGTTATTGAAGCTGGCCTTAAATGTACACAAGGAAAATGTATTGTTAATTCTATATCATTAAAAGAAGGTGAACAAGATTTTCTTGATAAAGCAAGAAAATGTAAAAAATATGGTGCTGCTGTTGTTGTTATGGCATTTGATGAACAAGGACAAGTAAGAATATGAATATTATGTATTTATAAAGAAGAATATTTTGATTTATTTAAGGCAACAGATATTGAAAGAAAATCGGCTATATGTAAAAGAAGTTATGATTTATTAGTTAATATTGTTAAATTTAATCCCAATGATATTATATTTGATTCAAATATTTTGACAATTGCAACAGGAATGGAAGAACATAATGATTATGCAGTAAATTTTATTGAATCAATTAAACGTATTAAAGTAAGTGAAGTTTATTTCAAAAAAAAAATTTTTTTTATAATACATGAAAAAGAAATGAATTTCTATTGAAAATGAAATTTAAAAATATAAACATATCTGATGAAATGTTAGTGGATAGCCAAACTCAGTTTCGACCTTGCTCAAGGATCTCATCAGGTGATTTAAATATGAACAATCACGACTGATGTTGGCCATGCACTTCCTTCACTTAGAAGCAAAAAAGTTTCTCCATAATTTAATACAACTTGTTCTTGTTGTTTTTCTGTAATGGCCTTCAGTTCGAAGAGCCAAAGTTGTCCTTTATTGTGAAGTTTCCGACAGGACATAAGAATAAACTTGGTACCAGGTGATAATAGTACTTCTTCTTCAGCACTATTATTAACACGAGCATACGGTCGCATTGGTTGGCCAGTGTCAAGATAAATTTTAAAAATGACCGAAACAACACAAGGATCGTCGTCAGATCCATCGCCCATGAAGATTTGGGCGATTCGATGATCCATAGTAGTAGAAAGAAAAGGAGCAGCACTGAAAATTTGTCTTTCATTGTTTTTCATTTTTTCTAGTTCAAATATAGTCATTTTTTGACCACGATAAAGAACTAAAGAGACACTGTCGTCTTCTGCTGGTAAAGGCCGTCGTAAAGAGTTGATCAGATCGATAATTGCATGTCGAAAACAGAAAATATCATGAAGATTTGGTTGTCGAAGAATATGATTTAATATTCGATGAAAAAATATTCCTTGTACATAGTAATTAATAACGGACGAAGATTGATAATTAAGAAAAAGTTCTGAAATTGTTTTTCGTTCTCCATAATCAACTTGTGAAGATTTAGCAGCAAAAGCACCAAGCATTGTAGATTGTGAATGAACAGAAGTGGGAAGATGATAAAGAATTAAATCACGTATTAATTAAGCTCTACTTTGCATAAAATGAACATTGTTATGATAGCGATCGACCAAGTTATCATATCGGTCGGAATCACTTACAAGATTAGAAAAATTCGCAGATCTACTATGTATAATTATTGGAATAGTTGCATCAAGTAGTATCGGCAGGCATGGAGCTTGGTTGTAAGAATAAATAGAACAAGCTTCTTCACAAAAATACTGGTCGAGAGATGTTAACCATCGAACAGGACGAAAGGGAATGAATGCAGTGTCGATGATTCGAGATCTAACTTCTTTCTTGTCCAAATCTAGTAAGTCAACAAGTAGAAATGAATAATCGTCAAACAAAACCCGTTTCGTTAATATCTGACTTAATAAAATAATATGCCCTTCAAAAAGTTTTGAAGGAAGAAAATAAAAATGGTTTTAAACAATAGAACAGAGTCTCTCATTTCTTTTTTAGGTATTTTATACATCTAAACGCTTCTTTTTTAAAGTTGATTCTAAAAAAATAGTCAGCAAAGGGTTTCGAATAATAGAAATTGTAAGTTAGAAGAATTTTAAAAAAAGAAAAGAACAAGGAGTCCAAAATGAACAAGAACTTTTCATGTATTTCATTTTAGTAATTATCAATCGGTTCACTATGTAGATTAAAGTATATTATATAATATAAAATAATCTGATTCAAGAACAGTTACAGATATTTGAGAAACATGCAAATGAAACTAGATTGATTCCAGTTATGTATTATGAAATGACATTTTCCGACTAAGGATAAAAGATATAAGCTTAGCATTGTTTCGATATTTGCACGAAATGAGATATTTTCAACAAACAACATACATGAGACCAATGGTTTCCATTCATCACCAGATCGAAAATCAAGCATTCTTGCATATTTTTCTGTTAAAGAAAATTCCGAGTTCAATTCAATTTCACAATAAGTGTCAATTGAATCTGAAATATACGAATAATCAAATAGAATAGGTATGAAAAATGTAATACTTTTCTCATGTATTTGGTCATCATTTGTCAAATTAACTGAATATTCATCCATCTCCATAGTTCATGTTCAAAAAAGTCGCATGAAAGATAATTTTACATTATGTTTAATTCTAGTAGAAGATAATATTTCATATAATATCGATAATCATTTATAAAACATGTTTCTTTTTATACTTACTTTATTCATTTTAAATTTGATGATGAATGTATGTTGTGTAGACTTCAATGCATTGTTATATATATAGGTATAAATTTGGCTTTTTCCAAATTGAAATTTTCGTTGAGTGAGTCATCATAAGAAGACACGAAGTATTTTAAGTATTTGAAAGCATTGCAAACAAGAAATTAATCAGCGCAATCTACGACAAAAGGAAGTTTCGTTAAAAACAATGTAAAAAAAATTTTCTTCCTGGAGAATGAAAAAAATTCATAGTGTGCTTTCACTTCCTTGTAATTCTGATTATTCATTGTAAATAATAATAAACAAAAAAAAAAGTGCGTTCTTCGGGAATGATTTTTTTTTTACGCATTTGTTGGTCCCATTTCTCGTAGAAATCGAGAATGAAAACGATATTAAGAGATAAACTTTTCCGAAAATCTTTTTTTTTTGTTTGATATTACATTGTTGAAAAATAGATTTCGACATTCTTGTAAAAAGGTTCGCATTGTCTATTAATCGTAAGAAAAATAACAAAAATTAGAAAAGTTCATTCATATTTCATTTGATTGTAATTCAATTATAGCATCTTTCCATTGGTATTATCGATATATTAGTCCTTCTTTCTATTTTTAACTACTTAATTGATAGCAAAAAAAAATTCTCTTAACCTTATGTTGATAAATTTCGATGTATAAATAGTAGTTGAATTATTTCACTAAAATATACATTCAATAATAATATTAGTTGTTAAATGCAGATCATACTCACATTGCACAATATCTAGTTGACTACGATAATCAAGAAAATTCGTTTTCACAAAAAAAAACTAAGAAAAAGGTCAAGAAATGTAAATTAATTAATTAAAAACAAATTTATCAATGTTTATCTTATACTGAAAATTGCCCAGAGGATATTTTAATTCTTGAATAATCATAGAATTTTTTAATTTTTAGGCATCTTGTCCTGGTTGTAAAACATCTGGTGGTATATCAAATATATCATTTTCATTTCGTGGACAAGATCGTATACGTGAAGCAATGCATTCTGTATTTTTATTTCATGCAATTAAAGCTGGTCTTGATATGGGTATTGTTAATGCTGGACAAATACCAATATATAATGATATTGATCCACGTCTTCGAGAACTTTGTGAAGCATGTATATTTAATACACGATCAACAGCAACTGAAGAATTACTTGAATATGCTCAACAACTTAAATTAAATTCTAGTACAAATGATAATAATAAAGTAGGAAAAGAAGAAGAATCATGGAGAATGAATACAACTGTTGAAGAACGTCTTCAATATTCATTAGTTAAAGGTATTGATAAATATATTATTGATGATATGGAAGAAGCAAGAAAAAACTATTCACGTCCATTACATATTATTGAAGGACCATTAATGAATGGTATGAGTGAAGTTGGAGAATTATTTGGTGCTGGTAAAATGTTTTTACCACAAGTTATTAAATCAGCAAGAGTTATGAAAAAAGCAGTTAATTATTTAATACCATTTATGGAAGAAGAAAAACAACAAAATATAAAATTATTACAACAACAAGGTAATACAACAATAAGTGGATTAGATTCACAATATACTATTGTTATGGCTACTGTTAAAGGTAAAAGAGTTTTTTTTTGTTTTGTTTTTTTTTTAATTATTATGTAATCTTTAGGTGATGTTCATGATATTGGAAAGAATATTGTTGGTGTTGTACTTGGTTGTAATAATTATCGTGTTATTGATTTAGGTGTTATGACACCATGTGATAAAATTCTTAAAATAGCTAAAGAAGAAAATGCTGATTTTATTGGTTTATCTGGTTTAATTACTCCATCATTAGATGAAATGATTATTGTTGCAAAAGAAATGCAAAGATTAAATTTTAATATTCCATTATTAATTGGTGGTGCTACTACATCGAAGTAAAAATGAATTTTTTGCGTATTGTATATTATTGAGTTTAGACAGATAGGGAAATGTCTATAGATCTATCTTTGATAATAATAGTCTTTTTTTAAGTTATGAAACAGTTTGTATTAATAAATCGAATGAGGATTATTTAGACCTCAAAACAATGCTTCGTGCATAGGTCATTCATGTATCGAGGAATATCAGATTTTTTTTTTGAAAATTCATTTACTTGTTAAAGAAACATCTTTTAACGATGAAATTTTCAAAGTATTGGAGTCATATCAAAAAATTTAATTGTCGTAATGGAGATCAGTTTGAAAAAAAAACTTGAATAAGTTTCAAATTAAGGTATGAAGAAAATTATGCAAATTCACAATATATATTATTTTCAGTTGTCACTTCATGCTACTTAAATTTAATAATATTCCATGAAATAGTATATTATCTAAAGAAATATATAGGACTATTCGAGTCTTGTAAAAGTACGCTTTCAATCTTGTATCTAATGTTCAATTAGTTGCTCAATATGCAGATTAAGTGTAAATATAATTTTCTTTTCTCTTAAATTTATAAAACCAAAAGATAGAAATTCTCTGTCATAGTGATTTTTAAGAGAACTTCTAAATTATGAAGTTTCTATTTTGAATTTTATCTTATACTAAAAAAATTTTAAGAATATTAATGAGAGAAATTTTGATCTGATTTCGACTATTCACAAAAAAAAAAAAATAGGAAAATGAAATTTTTCTTTTTTCTTTTTCAGACAACATACTGCAGTTAAAATAGCTCCGCGTTATCACAATGCTCCAGTTATACATGTATTAGATGCATCAAAAAGTGTTGTTGTTTGTGGAAATCTTCTTAGTAAGAGTAAAAATTTTTTGTTTTTTTTAAATTAAATTAATATTTTTATTTCTATTTAAATTTAGATAAAGATAAAAAAGAAGATTATATAGAAGACATAGCTGAAGACTATAATGATATACGTGATGATTATTATGCAAATCTTAAACAAATACGTACTATATCAATAAATGATGCACGAAAAAAACGATGGATTAGTGAAAATGAAAATTTTAATATAATTAAACCAACATTTTTAGGTATAAAAATATTTAATAATATTGATATTGAAAAATTAATTAATTATATTGATTGGAAACCATTTTTTGATGCTATGCAAATACGTGGAAAATATCCAAATCGTGGTTATCCAAAATTATTTGATTGTAAAGAAGTTGGTACACAAGCTCGTATTGTTTTTAATGATGCACAAAAAATTCTATCAAATATTGTTGCACATAAAATTTTTTCAATACGTGCTGTTATTGGATTTTATCCATGTCAAACATTAGGTGATGATATACTTATATATGATCCACAAGATTCAAAAAAACAAATTGCAACATTATTTGGTTTAAGACAACAAACTGAACGTGATTCAAATATTTATATGTGTTTATCAGATTTTATATCATCAACAAATATCGATTATATTGGATTATTTGCATTAGCTGTTTTTAATGTTGAACAAGAAGCACAAAGATTAGTACAAAAAGTATGAAAAAAACAAAATTACATTTTTTTTAATTTTTTTTTGTTTAGGAAACTGATGATTATTCATCAATTATATTAAAATTATTAGGTGATCGTTTAGCTGAAGCATGTGCAGAATATTTACATGAATGTGTTCGTCGAGAATTATGGGCATATGCATCTAATGAAAATTTATCAATAAAAGATTTACTTTCAGTTAAATATCAAGGTATTCGTCCAGCTGCTGGTTATCCAACACAACCAGATCATACAGAAAAATTAACAATATGGAAATTATTAAATGTAAAAGAATCTATTGGTATTGAATTAACTGAATCACTTGCTATGCAACCACCATCATCTGTTTCTGGACTTTATATGGCACATCCAGAATCAACATATTTTGCTGTTGGAAAAATTAATCAAGATCAAGTATGTTAAGTTTATACATAAGAATAGAAACATAATTGAAAATAGAGATTTATGATAAATAGTGACAATAATAATATTTCACATGATTGAAAATTAAAGTTTATGAAAAATGACAAATGTTAAATTTAAAATTACTTTTTAAGAATAAAAATTTTTGAAATCTGATTATATATATCTATTAGATAATAAATCTTTTACTGTTAGTAATTCAACATAATTGTTGTTAGCATTTAATGAATAATACTATTGTATAATATTTAAAGATTTTGAAAGAATTTTCACTTGAATTGTTTTACTTTTATTATTAATCTTCATTTTCTATATAATTCATTTAAAATTTTTGTAGTATCAACTGGATTATAGCTAATAAAATAATAAGATTCTAATTTAGTTAACAATATTTTTTGATCATGATGTTTTTTTTTGTCAAATGACCAAGAATTTTGCTGATAACTGCTTTCATTCAAATAAATTAGAGAAAGAAATGAGTCTTGAAAACAAATTTACGTTTGAGAGTATGTATTTTTTGTTTGACTTTCAAGTTCATTCAACGTTTATATCACTAGAACTATTTGACGGTAGTGAACATATTGTATAAGTTACTTCAGATGATTGTAAATTAAGAAACAAAACATTAGGCAAGAATAGATATGAATTAAGTTTTGTATATTGCAGAAGATCAATAATTTCTTCAATTGATCCATCAATAGACATATTAACAGGTGACATTATGACAAATATTCTCTAAATAATATACATGTATGTCTTTCTCTTTTGATTATATCTAAAAAAATAATACATAAAGTTTTTCTTTAATATTTTTATGTATAGAAAAATGAAAAATATTATTTGTTTATTTTAGGTACATGAATATGCTGATCGAAAAGGAATGTCAATAAAAGAAGTTGAAAAATGGTTATCATCAATTTTAGCTTATGATGTTGATTCACAATAATAAATTGTATTTGTCATCGTTTGAAAAGGTTTTGTCTTTCAACAGTTATGATAGTTTTTGTTGTTATGTTATCATTTTTACTATTATTAATGTTATAAGAAATAAATATAGGTGATGGATCAATCAAATTATTGTTTCCATTTATTTTAGATTTAAAATAAAGAACAAATATGGTACTTAATCGAGATGCTATTCTCAGAGTAAGACTTTTAAATATTTGTTTTTTCTTTTTTCAATTATATTCAATTAATTATTTCATTGTAGTGTATTATTGCAATAGATTTTCTTTACACAAGCATGTAAGATTAAATAAAGATGAAAAAGATATGCGTTAAAAGAAATTTTTGTTTTTTTTTTTTCTTGATGGTGAATCTAACTAGAAAAATATCTTTCAACATTTCGATTTCTTTAATCATCTATTATAAATTTAATTTCAAACCAAAAATAAAAAAATCACTTTTTTGTAAAAAGATAGGATGTATTTGATACTAAGTTCAGTTTTTCAATAAATCTTGAAAAGAATTAATAGAGTGAATTTAAATTTTCATTAATTCTTTTCAAATAAAATTAAATAGAAGAATTAAATATATTGATTTTCTTTTTGTTTTTGTTTTTACTAGGGCGCTAATGACCAACTGGTTACCAATGTCGTACAGTTTGAATCAAATGACTATTATATTACTTGGTTTTTGGGCAATTGTTCATCGTGACAGTGCTATTACAGTTGAACTTGTATGTGTTTATATAGTTATTTTATTTTAATATTCGTTTATTTAGTTAATGGTAATTAAATGTTTTTCAATTATTCTTGATTCAATTGCTATTGGAATGCATTTTGATATTGGAAGACGATGTAAATTTGTTCCTTTATTTAAATATTTTAATGTATAGTATCATTTCTTTTATAGATTACCGAAGTATCGATCATAGTTCTTATTTTATTGTTAGTGCTTTGTAAGTTATTTGTTTTTTTTTTTCGTTTTCAAAAAGTAACAGATCATAATTCGAATTTTCTTTAGTTTTGCTATATTTCTTGTCATACTCAAACCAATAATGCTTTTATTCTTAAATAAAGTCAGACAAGATCGTCTTGGTGATGCATCATCACCAACGTTTGGAGGTTGGGCTTCTAATACAAGTCCTGGTAAGATATGTTTATGTATATTTTAATTATCAATATATATTTTTTAAATTTATTTACTAGTGGCAGGATATATGCCAGTTGACGAACAACAAGCTACTTAATGATAAAACTTATAAAATATGATTTGTTTCATTCTTGTGATTTTATGTAATTTATATTTTGACGAATAAATAAAAATTTTTTGCTATGACTATATTTTACATTAAAAATGAAAACAAGTAATTAATAAATGTGAATAAAAAATAATAATACATTTCGTTTTCTTTTATTTCATTTTTGAATTTAAATTCACAAAATTAATTTTGATTGTGGACGTGAATAAAAATCATACTAAGATCCATACCCTTTCGTTGAATGATTTATAATTGATGCCCGCGAAATTCGAAGCGTATAGGATGGCATTTTCTTAAACCAGAAGAGAATTGCACGAATGTTCACTTTTGATTGTGCAAGTATGTGAGGATTGAGAGTTGGGTGTGGGAGGAGTGTAAGTATCTGGATATAGATGAAAGGAATACCCGTACCCACATCCACTCACGCTCTCAAGCGACCTCTTATAGTGAGTCCTAGTGTGATCGATCTAATCTGGATGATTGAGAATTCTTATATTAAGCTGTTTCAAATTAATTCATTGTAAGTTAGAGTATATATGATCAAAATGAAGAGTAGTTCAAATCAAACATAGAAATACATAGACCGTATTTTCGTTTTTAAATGATTCATTTGGTTATCGGATGCCGAACTGTCGAAAACCAAATGCTTTATTTTTAAAATTTATTGTAAACTGACATTTCCTACGACACAAAAAAAGACATTCAATATGAAGATAAATTCATTTATATGAGAAATGAAGAACACAATCTTACTAATTTTGGAGTCGATCAAAAATTTATGCGAAAATATTCTTTTTCAATACAAAAAAAAACTAATAATTATATCCTCTAATTATTATGTATCAAAAAACCGTTGCGATAAAATCTTATTAATCTATAATTCTTTTCGATTTTATTTATTATTTATACAAACATGATACACGGTGACAACATACAATTGTTAGTCTAATATAAATAATTCAAAATGAATTGATGCAAAAAATTTGTTTCCATGAAAATGCTTTCTTCACTTCATTTCGAAAGGTTTTGGATACGATTAAATTTGCATAAAAACTTGTACAGAATGGAGTACCAGAACAAAATAGACATAGATTTCTAACAATATTTTCAATCTGTATTTGCTCACGACTTTTTATATAATTTTGTGTTATTTGTTGATATATGAGGAAAATTGCAAACGCAAAACTAAATGAAGCACAGATAATGATATCCATAAGTAACATGAAAATAAGTTGTCGATCTTTTGAAGAAGTTGAATGCGAACTTCTTTCTGCATTAGTTAGACTTACAGATAGATTAGAAACTACTCTAATATGACGTAAATTTCGAATATTATTTATAGACCACAATCCAAATATTATCATTAATAAAAGTGCCAAAGTTTCTTTAATGACGGAGTAATAACTAACGAAAACAAGATGAATACCTTGTTGAAAATAACAAAGAAAAGAACTAGGAGCAATTTGTTTAATATTCGAGGCGATTAATGCATGACTATGAAACAATGCCCAAAATAATGTTCCAATAATAATACATAAATAAGCAAAACGGCAAGTACTTCGTTGTCGTATAAGAGCATTTGATGAAGTAATAAAAACTCGATCAACAGAAGCCAAA